AGAAATCAGACAGTTCCTTCAATTAAATGACAATGACAATACAACATATCGGAATCTATGGGACACAATGAAAGCAGTCTTAAGAGGGAAATTCATAGCACGGAATATGCATATTAGGAAAACAGAACAAGCCTGATTAAACACATAATGATCCTGTCTGTGTTACACACTTCTAATCTGAACACATACTCCTTGACTACTTTCTGCTTCATTGATTTCAGAGCAGCGAACCTGTCCTCGTCACTTCCTATGCATTTATGTGGGTTCTCATTTCCACACCCATAGTGACAGTCATAATACAATTTTTGTACCAGCAGCCTTATTGACTATTACAGAATCAGTAATATTGTGGTTGATTACTTTGTTTAAAGTACTAGTTACCCCACCTCATTGTCCCTCTCAACAGCTGGGCTTCTAAGCCTCCTGACAACTCCTAATATCCACATCCTTGGAATCGTCCTCATTTTGGGACTGAACAGTATGCATGACCTACAACTCACAAGAGGGTGAAGATGACCTTTTAGATAGCCAAGACCTTACCCTGTCGATTCTGTGACCTTTCTGTGCACATCACTTTAAGCTTTCATTGTCCTGTTTTCTACTGTTCAATAGCTGTGTGGTCTGTAAAGCTTCAGTGATCAGTCCTTTCTGGAGATTAGTCCCTTTCAGCTGACTCACCTTGGAGGCCTTTGTAGGCAGCTTAAGAGGTTTTGTGTGATCAGCACATCCGTAGCTTGCCAGGGCCTGGACTTTAGCAGGGCTCTGGCAATCTCTCCCCTTTGTTTTGCGTTTTGTTTTTCCCTTTTTCCTTACTCAGTTAAAACAAAGGCAGTTGTCCAGAAATTTCTCTGCATTTGTGCATGAGGCAATAGCTGATGAGAGAGGGAGCAATTATGATGTTAATGATTAACTAAAAATAGATCTATCCAAAGAGTCCTTTGGTCATAGATCTGTTTTTCCTGACCTTATTTAAGCAAAAAGAACCCATAAGCCTAGGTTTCATCTCAATGCGCAACAACTTTGAACATGTTGTTGAGTTTCAAAAAGAAATATTGTGAAAATCATTTGCAATTAATATCTCGGAGATGAATAAAATGTGAACTCTTTTCAAGCTGTTCACAAGGAAGTTGAGATGTAGAATCATTTGCTATGATTCTACCAAAACATACCTGAGGAAAAAAATTAAGTGATCTGGAACCTCAGCTAAAAGAGAAATCACTTTGAGGTGGAGGTGGTGGCTTTGAGGTGGTAGCTTTGAGAGAGGAATTACTCAAGTCATTGAATAATGCCATAATCAAGTCCCTGTAGTTCATTTAGAAATGAGAGTTTTGTATTTTGTTTGTGTATTCATTTGGAAATAATATATATAAGAAACAATATATATTGGAAATAATGTGTATTGGAAATGTATATACATGAAACAATATATATTGGAACTGGTGTGTATTGGACAATATTTATTAGAAACAATATAAAGAAGAAACAGATGAATTCCAATGGTAAGTGAGCATTTAGAAGTCTCTCAAATTGCCACTCAAAAAAAAAATTCTGGAGGGCATATTTGCAATGTTTCCTGGTAGCTGTAAAGTGTAAGGCTCTGAGAGGGAGGATGAAGAGTATTTCCTTCTTGGGCTGTATTGCAAAGACAAAAAAAAAAAAAAATCTACCTGATAAGGAAAAAAAAAGAGCTATAATTATGTTCCCCTGACACGCCTCATCCTCTTCCTAAATGGTGCTTGCTGAACTGGGGAGAGGAAGACTGGGAGGGCAGAGTCAACTGAACCAATAGCACTTGGCCTGTCTGCCCAGGATAGGTGTCTCGTGTTTGCTTTTGATGTGGTTCTCTCCAAATGAATAGGCTCCGGGTGTGGACAAAAGTGCATGAAGGGCTTTAGCAGGAGGTTTCCCACTGGAAATACTTTCATCTTTCTCAATCGACAACAGGGCCATTTTCTTCCCCACACCGGGGCCTTGATTTGCACTCTCTTTCAGGAGAGCCTCTCTCTCTGCACCAGACTACTGCTTACTGTCTGTCCACCGTGTCTACTCCCAGAAGACACCTGAGCAGAGCGCTTGGGACCTCTCTCCAGCCTTTGGGATAGGAAATGTGAGCCTGTCTCTCCTGAAGGACAGAGTCATGTGTTCCTGGCTCCTGCTTCCATTGTCCAAAGATGAAAAGATGAGCCTGGCTTTTTTGCTGAAGAAGAATGCCTTGACCTGAGTTCCATCCATTTTGAAAACTCTGTTCTTTGGCCCCGGGATATATGATTTCCTCAAGACAACTTTCTGTTTGTTTTGTGGTAATGTGGATTAAACTCAGGACCTTGCCACTGAGCTACATCCCCAGCCATTTTTTTTTTTAAGATAAGGTCTCCCTAAGTGGCTAAATTGTGCAGGCTGGGTTTGGGCTTGAATTTGCAATCATCCTGCCTCAGCCTAGGATTATAGTTGTGTGCCACCACACCTGGCTACCAGGGCAAGATTTAACATGAGTCTACAACATGGCTTTTAGGAGTCCAAACCCTTGTGGAGTCTTATGCCAAATTTTTTATATGTATGTTGCCTTCACATACTGTGACCTCCTGCCCCAAGTAGGAACCACTATGCCTAAAGAGTAAGCAATCTGCGTCATCTCTGATCTCCCTTCCTTCTTTTGAAATCCAGTTTTATCCAGGGCATGGGGTGAATTCTTGAACTTCTTCAGCCTTGGATCATTTTACAAAACTAATTAATTATTTAAAATAAACACAACTGGGCCGGGGATTTAGCTCAGTGGTTCCACCACCTGCCTCGAAAGCACAAGGTCCTGAGTTCGATCCTTGGTACCAAAAAATAAAATAAAATAAAACAAACATAACTTCCTAACCCATCCTTGCTAAAGGGAAGCTACTCAGGGACTTCTGAGAACTTCCTGATATGTCTCAGGTAAAAACTTACCTGAAGAATGGATACTTTACCCAAGATTACATGTAAAGAACAAATACATACTGGAAAGATGCTCAACATCATTAGTCATAGGTAAATGCAAATTAAGGCTTCAATGTGATATCCCAGTACATCTACAGTATAACTAAAATCAAAAAGACTAACAATGCTAAACATTGGAGAGGATCTGAAGTAAACAGAGCTCTCACACATTACTCAAGGACAGGGAATGGACCTACAACCTGCAATTCTACCCCTAAGTGTGTATGCAAGAAAAACAACTGACCACACAAAAACCTGAATGTGGCTGTTTATAGAGATTTTATTCATAATAGCCCCAAACTGGAAATGACACAAATGCGTATCAAATGTGAGTGCATAAACAAACTGTGACGTGTCTGTACAATGACACACTACATGGCAACAAAAAGCAACTGACTGCAGACAGGTACAACGACACAGATGGTTCTCAAAAGCACTGTGCTAAGTGAAAGAAGCCAGACACAAAAGACTATACACTGTCTACGCCATTTATATGGCGTTTGGGGAAAGAAAAGATTGTGGTGACAAAGATCAGCAGCTTCAAGGGCCCAGAGGAGATGGAATTAGCTGTAGATGGCTCAGGGAAACTTGGAAATAATGAACTAGTTCTTTATCTTGATTGTGGTGGTGGATACATGGTTTAAATACATTTGTTAAAACTCATCTAACTGTATGCTTAAAATATTTACTTTATAAAAACTATTCATCAATAAGACTGCTTTTAAAAACTAGCTGCAGAGTATCACTTTTCTTGGTAAACAAGACAATCCAGACATGAAACACCTTTGCAAGGATAAAGGATCTCAGACTTGGAGCCAGCTCACATTGTTTTATGGTTTATTTTATACATTGAATTCCAGAGGGTTTTTTTTTCTAATTTTCTGTTCCCACTGACACTCTTCCAATTCACAGTTGCTTTTTACATCTTTCCCATTTTAATGTGGATTCAGGGTTTGTAATGTGGGCTACAGAGTCCAAATTGGGGGTTGGCTGTATTTTAGGTTATTAAATCCACTACAAAATTTGGAGTAGATTGGAGGGGACAGAAAGGAGAAAGAGTTTTGACATAGAACGGAGGGGATGCAGAGAAATTTCAGAGAGAGACATTTGGGCATAGTCTCAGATGTGAGAGTATGAAAGAGAGCAGTGTTCAAAGAAGACTCTTGTTCAAAGCCTTAGCTGTTGCCCTTGAGGAAGAGCCCACCTCCTGTGCAGGGAATATTACGCTCATGATCCACTTTCAATCTATTGCCTACTGCATCTTTTCACTGAAAGGAAAGCTACTTACGCAAAGGCTTATCAGCACTCCATAAAGTTTTGTTATTTAACAGCAGGCGTTCAATATATACTAATTAGTTATCCATTCACCTACTAAAGGATATTTGTGTTGTTTCCATTTTGGGTATTGCAAACGAAGCCGGTATAAACATTTTTGTACAGGTCTTTGTGTGGATATTTGCTTTCATTTCCCTTAGGTTAATGCCTGGGAGTGGAATTGCTGGATCATACGGTATGTTTAGTACACCCACACAATGGCTTACTACCAAGAAATAAAAAGATACAACTGTTGGTACGTGCACTTTCATGGATGAATCTCAACAGAATTATGCTGAGTAAAAGAAGCCAGACCCTCCCCTCAAAAGACAAGAAATACTGTATATTATGTTTCAATAAAACACAAGAAAAAGCAAACAAATCTATAGCAACAGAAAGTAGATGAGCAGTTGGCAGGGAGGGACAAAGACAAGAAGTAAGGATTATAAAGGGGTATGGAAAAACTTTTAGGCATGATGGATATGTTCATTATTTTGATTGTAGTGATTGTTTCACAGTTGTGTATGTGTCAAACTCACCAAATTGTACATTTTAAAAACAGGCGGTTTATCCTATGCCAATTATACTTCAAGCTGTTGAAAAACGTACTTGTTGAATAAGTGGCAGGCGGTTAGTAACTGCAAATAGAATATGCAGAAAAAGTGTTCAGTGTTGATTGAAGGAATGCAAAGCAGGTGATCAATAAATGTCAGAGAAATTGGTGTGCAGAAAAAAATAAATGAATAAATATTGAGTGTCCAGTAATTTTAGAATGAACGAATTTGACTAATATTTATTTAACGTTTATAATGTGCCAGGCATTGACATTAGGGAACCAAACAAAACTCCCGACTCCCTGAGAGCTTTAATTTTAGGATAATAAGCAACAGAAACATGAGTAAAACGTATAGGGTGCTAGATAGATGCTAAGGAAAAGTAACAAGGCTGAGAAGGGGAATGGGAACTCCCGGCAAAGAGGGTGTCATTTTAAGAAGGTCACCCCCCTTTGGGAAAGTGTGACGCTTAAGAAAAGAACTGAGGATGTGAACAGGCCAGGTGAATGTCTAGGAAAATAAAAAGTAACTAGCTCCAACTAGGCATAGAAGTGTACACCTGTAATCCTTGCACTCTGGGAGGCTGAAGCAGGAGGGTCACAAGTTGGAGCCCAGTCTGGCATAGCAAATTAGTGAGATCCAATCTCAAAAAACAAAAGAAAAAAAATTAAAGGGCTGGGAATGTAGCTCAGTGCGAAAGCCCTGGGTTCAATCCCAAGTACTAAGTTGGGGGGTGGGGTAGTAACGGCTCCAGATGTCAAAAAGCAAGCAAGAGTTGAGTGAGGTCTCGATAGGGACGAAGAGCCCAGCAGCCACGCCCCCAGAGTCCCGTTCCCTGAGGCCGACGCGCTCCTACCTGCGCCTTCCGCCAGGAGGCGCGCCTGCGCTCACCCGCGGCCGTCTTCCGCCGCCGGCCTCAGCGTGGGCACGCGCAGAAACCGCTAGGCGGTGTCGGTTCCCTTCCCACGCGCGGACGCCGGCGTGGGCCGACGCCAGCGGGGCGCTCGCCCCCGCGCAGAGCGGAGCCTGGCTGCCCTGGGGGCGGGGCGGACCAGGGCCGGGGCGGGGCGCGGCCGCTCAGAGTCGGGCCGGGCCGGGCCGGGCCGGGCCGGGCCGGGCCGGGCGGGGCGGGGGCGTGAGGTGATTCCGGAGCCGCAGCGGGGAAACCGAAAGTGGGCGGCGGTCGCGGCTGGGCCCTGACAGAGACGGCAGCAGGAGCCGGGCGAGGAGGCGCGGGACCGTGTCGTGGGCCCCCAGGACGAGGTGAGCGCAGGTCCTGCCGAGCCAGGCGACAGGTGCCGGCGACGTTGGCGAGGCTGGGCGGGCGCCTCGCGCCTGGGTCGTCGCCAGTTGGGCCGAGGCCGGGCGGGGCCGCCGCAGGGGCGCGGGTCGGAGGCCGGGCTTCGGGAGCGGCGCCTGGAGCGCTGCGCTCTAAACCTCTGGCCGACGCCACCGGGGCCGAGCTGGGCTGAGCTCAGCCGGAGCGCCCCCGGACGCGCCGCGCAGTGGGGGGCGGTCAGGAAGCGGCCCGTCCCTTCCCGAGCCGGGTGTTGGAACTGCGGGCTCTTGGACCATTGCGTCCTACTCTGCGGCTGTAAGTTTCTTAAAGCCGCGGACTTCTCTCTGCAGGGCACTTAAAAAATGCAGGACACACATATTATCTGTTCCTTTCTCAGCCGTAAACACCGTGCGGATAGAAAGCACCAACGGGGACGGGGCGAGGGGGAGGGCGCCCAGAAATAAGTTGGTTTAATTTTCCCTGTCGTCTTCCAGCAGGGTCAGATTCCAAGCCTTACCTGCTGGGAGAGATCTTGGAGCCGGTATATCTTCTCTGTTCCCATCCACTTGAGGAGTGTAATATATTTCCATTAATAGCCAAGGATACCATTCTGAAAAATTTCAAAGAGCAGGGAAGGGATATAACTATATTTGCAAAAAGATTTTGGTAATCGCCCAATTTAAAAAGAAAACCCAAAACGCTGATCTAGTTCATCCTCCCCCACCCCGCCGCAATCGCACAGGTGGATAAATTTCAGAAAATGTGTACTGCCTAGAGATCTGCAATAAGTTAGTGACAAAAATGAAACTTTAAACCCAAATCCCCATCTGTTCCAGGGTGTCTTGATGTGTATGAATGTGTTGCATACCACATTGGCTTTGTCAATCTGAACCGGCATCCACACCCCACAATTAGTTTACTAATTGTGTTACTATGAATAAACTGTACACTTTCTTGGAGCCTAGTTTTCTGTGTATCAAATGGAAATATTTAGCTTACTCTGTAAGGCTTTTTCAAGATAACACTGTATTCCTTTGGCTCCTATTAATAGTCAAGCAGTGTTAACTGTCTTCCACCAAACTGCCCATATTTAATATAACTGGATCTCAGCTTTTTGAGGGCAGGGACACAAAGACCTTTAAATTTTCTCTGTAAGTTGGCTCACGGTGGAGATTTTTGCTGTTGCACTAAGCTAACATTCATTGAGCATCAGTTACGTGCACAGTTCTGTCGTGGTCGTAGAGAATTGCTCCTGGGGCCAGATGAATTAGAACCCAGCATCTCCTGTGTCCTGCTTAGGACCCTTCAGTGGCACGCAGCGTCTCTCTTTGCTGCTTAAACACAGTGAGACAGTAAGACAGCAGTTGGCTTTGCCTTTGGATTTCAGTCCCTGTAGATGGGAAGTGAAATATAATCCATGCTAATGCCCTTTTAAGTTTGCTCATTGAGCATGGCTGAATGAACTATTGTATTTTGCATCAAGAGATTTAAACTCTTTGAAGGACCTCTCCTTTAATTCTCTGTGCAGTATAATCTAGTTGGATACTTAATGTGAATGTAAAGAAAAATACTTTGTAATCCAGTTCTAAGTAGCTACTTTTTAACTTAGTGATGTTTGCAAAAACTGAAATTTAACATAGAGAAAGTGCTTTGCTTGTGTACAGTTTCACAGGACAGAAGACTCTTGGTGAGTGGCGGGAAGTTTAATTTCATATTTATCTTAGTAGTCTTGTTGCTGAGACAAAATACTCGACACCCAGAATTAAAGGAGGAAAGGTTTATTTTGGCTCACAGTTTGTAGAGTTGTCAGTCCATAATCTACCTCCAAGGCAGGGTGGCCTGGCAGAGGGGCATCACAGAGGACACAGTTCATACTGGGCGGAAGGCAGTAAAGCAGCCAAGCGAAACAACCAGCAGCAACCTTCTTTCTATCCCTTATATCTTATCCAGGCTACCCACCCTTAGGGCAGGTAGCACTCACATCCAGGATGGAGCAGCCTTAATCCTAGCATTGTACCATGAATCAATCCCAGTATCTCATCCTTGATTCCAGCATCACATACCCTAGGTCAAGCCATGTCTGAAAAGCCCCTCCTATGACCTCATGAGGCTTTGGAGGGACATCTAGATACAAGCCATAACAGTATTTACATGAATTGTTTTCTTTCTTTGTACGAAGTCTACTTTATTTTCCTCAAGGAAATGAAAAGAATGAAGCTTTGAAAAGCACAAAAGTGGCACAACATTCTTTTCATTATTTCCCTATGAGCTAAATATTTTTAAAAGCTTGTTTTTCAAAAAACCTAAAGATGGGCCGGGGATTTAGCTCAGTGGTTTCGCCGCCCGATGCGCAAGCGCAGGGACCTGAGTTCAGCCCCTGGTACCAAAAAAAAAAAACCCTAAAGATAATTTTTACAATTTTCAGTTGAAGACGTGTATATGCCAATCAGAGTTTCTGATCAGCCCAAGATACTCAGTGTGACTGCTAAGCAATCTTGATATTTTGGGCTGTGCAGCTTTGCCATGAATAAGCAAATCCATACTTTCCCATTAAATCTTCAGACCTCATTTAAGTCCTAAAGGAATCCAGGGTAGGTTCAGAATCACATCTCTTGCCTATATTCTTTATCTTCTTTGTGAGGGGGCGGGGGAAGACACCAAAGTGACTTACTCAAAGGACCGCAGGTAATTAGTAGCAGAACTAAGGTTAAAACCCAGATTCCTAAGTCACTGTCATCTTGGGCTTTTCTTCTCTACTTTGTAGCTTTATAGAAATCTTTTAATTATACATTCCTGATATGCACTGAAAAATGCATGAATAATTTGAAATCATAAAAATAAGGAAAATTCATTTAAGAACTTTAAGTATACCACCACCTTAAGATGTTAATTACTGTCTTTTCTTTAAAAACCAGTTGGTGGTGGCATAATTCAAGTGGTAACAAGTAGACTATAATTGGAAAGAAAATACAGCATGCCAAACTGTTCTGAAATGAGAAATCATTGAGAAAAGATCTTAGATAAAAACCTTCCCTCTCTAATGCTTGGTTTATTATTCTGTAAGATGAAGGGCTTGAGTTAAGTCTAGATAATGTCTAAAATCTTTCAGCACAGACATTCTGGAACTTTAAAGTCCCACCTTGTTGCTAAATTAGTGTCTTCAAGGAAAAGAGCGAACAGTTACCAGAGGATATTTCCTAAAGAGATAACCAGATACTTTAAAATTGAGAGACTGACTAAAGAAGGTAAGATAAATTACTTGATTACTCCAATAATTTGGCAAATTTATTTTGTGATTTAGTGCTCTACAACTTAAATTTATGACATGAAGAATGTAATGAGGAAGATGAGCCAAATAGTACAGTTAGAAATAGTTGAGAAAAAAGAAAACTAGAAAAGAGGAAGCATAGATGAGAGTTAGATTAGCTCCAGTAAAGGCTTACGGGCACTAGTAGTTGTGGGATTAATCAGGGCAGAGCAAACGTGTAAGGCATTTGTCTAGGATACATCAAAAACCATATTCCTCAGAATTAGACTTTTTGGGGGCAATTTTCAGGTGTATTAAAGCTATGAATTGGCAAAATATACTTTTAAAAGATAGAATTATCTTAGGTCATTTAAAGTTTTAAATCTTCTTTTCCTAAAGGTGGTCATTATGTGTTCCTGCTCCCCACCCCACCTTTTTGTACACTGTTAGCACCTGGGAGCCCTCATGGTGAATTGTGTTGCAAAGAGAAAAGGAAAAGAATGAAAGGATAAAAGGAACTGTCAGGTGCCACCATTGAATCTTTGCAACTGGTGGCAGTTCTTTTGATGGCACACCCTTAAAATGTGGCAGGTCCCTGTTTCAAGTTGAAAGGCAAGTTGCTAAACATAGCCCCAGGTTGCTGTTGGTATTCTCTGAGTCAAGATTTACTTTCAGCAGCCAACTTTATATGCAAGGAACAACTGTCTGAAAAGAAGCCCTGATTTTGGAAACAAGTTTTGCAAAACAGGAGTTTTGCTTTGTTTTGTTTTGTTTTGTGATTCTGACCATAACAATAGGTGAGAGCGGGAACGATTGTCATGGATTAATATCCAAGAATTAAAGCCAGAAAAGTGGAGGTGAGCACAAACTGTGCTGCCCTTTGGATACTCTAAAAGACTTTGGCTTCTTGTTTGAGACAGGAAGCAGTAGAAGGTTTTGAGCAGAAATGTGACACGATATGATTTATAACACAAATGACACTGTATTCCGGTGAAGAATAGATTCTGAAATTGAAGTGGAAGCAGAGAGACTAGTTAGGAGCCACATGCAGGCAAGAGATGTTGGCGTGAACCAGGTGATCACCATCAGGAGGTGGTAAAGCGTGGAGGAGTTGTGGGTGTCAGCCTGTCCGTCTTCACATATCACTTGGTGAGTGGGGGGGGGGGGGAATGAAAACCACTAATATCAAACCCCTCATCTTACAGATAAGGAGACTGAGGCCCAAGAGAAGGAGTTTGTTCTAGGAAAATAAGTGCTCTTTACACAGTGGTTTTAGACTTGAGGCACATAACCAAGAGGGGACACAGGTACAACCTTTTGTAGTCCTCTGTTTCTCTCCCAAAATCAAAAATCTACCACCTATTTGTCAGCAACTTACTACTGAAAGAAATATTAAAATATGGACTTTAACTATGATAAAATGTACAGTAAAGAGAGGTGCTATGAAGAATGTGTGTGGCATGGGCCTTTCCTAGGTCTGGTTGGGAAATCTAATTTAGAAAAAGCAACAGTTGTCAGAAAAGATAGGCAAGCATGGCACACACCTGTAATCCCAGCACTCAGAAGCCTGAGGCAGGAATTTGAGGCCAGCTTGGGCTACATAGTTCAAGGCCAGCCTGGACTACATAGTGAGACCCTCTCACACACACCCCCCCACAAAGGCAAGTGTGAGGTTAGAGTGGGAAAGTGAAAAATAAAGGTGACTATTTCCGTGCCATGCAGATCAGCATTGCTTTTTAGTTTCTTAGGTTCTCACCGTAAATACATTCCTTGTATCTACATGGAACATAACCAAGACTTTGGAGCAGAAGGATAGGGCAGTTAAGGCAGGGGACATCTAGTACATATGTCTTGACAGAGCCTAGAACTTGAAAGGAGACACATTCAAAGAGGGTGGGATTAGCACAAGTGTTACACACTATTTCCCAGCTTTGACCATACTGTGTGACACATAGGACATGAGTGTGTGTATGGCCTTCAACTCCCTCTACCCCCCAAAATTAAGCACCGTGTTCGGGAAACTCCTGTTGGCAGCTGTTTCAGAACAGAAATAAGTTAAGAGTAGTCATTTCAGGTCAGGAATGGAAAGTTGTTCTGAAGGTGGAAAGCAGAGAAGGCTTTTGCACATGGCCACCCATAGAACAAGTCTTTGGCTAGCTTCTCAGGTGGGGTCAGACTTGACCTTTCAAACCATCCTCATATTGTGAGATCTGTTCTATGCTAGTAATTAAGTTTCTATTAGTGAAATGTATTTACCAGAGATTTCCCCGCATAAATAAAGCTGTTGTATACAGTCAGGTACAGGTTTTTATGACATATGTCATCATTTCTCCTGGACAGTTACCTAGGAGTAAGGTTGCTGGATTGTATGGTAAGTATATGCGTTACTTCATAAGAAACTGCCACACTGTTTTTCAAAGTACCATTTGGACAACCACTAGAAATGTAGGCGAGTTCCAGTTACTGTGCATTCTCACCAGCATTTTCAAGTTGTCAGTTTTTTTAAATTAACTATTCTAATATATATGTAGTGATACTTCATTGTGGATCTGATTTGCATCACCCTAATGGCTAACGCTGATGAACATTTTTTCATGTGTTTTTGACATCTTCGTCTTTGCTCTAGGGGAGTTTGTATTCAGATCTTTTGTATACTTCCAGTTAGGCTCTTTGTTTTATTGAGTTTTGAGGGTTTGTATGTGATGGTTACTACTTTACCAGATTGTTATACATATATTTTCTTAGTCTATGACTTGTCTTTTCATTTTCTTAATGGGCTTCGGAAGAACAGAAACTTTATTTTTCCATTATTAGGGACTGAACCCCAGGGTACTCTGCAACTAAGATATACCCCTTAGCCCTTTTTACTCTTCATTTTGAGACAGTCTTGCTAAATTCCCAGACTGGCCCTGAACTTCTGATCCCCCTCCCTCAGCCTCCCAAGTAGCTGGGGTTGAAGGTGTGTGTCTCTGTGCCTGGCTGGAGGTTTTTTTTTTTTGGTACTGGCGATTGAACTCAGGGCCTTGTGCTTGTGAGGCAAGCGCCAGCACCACTGAGCTAAATCCCCAGCCCTAGAAATTTTAATATAATCCAATTTGTCAAGTTTTTATTCTGCAGTTCTTAAAAAAAAAAAATGTCGGATCCAAGTTCACAGAGATTTACTCCTGTGTGATATTTAGATTTATTGTATTAGATTTTTAATTTTGAACCTAAATGATGTTTTTAATTTTTGTATATGGTATGAGGTTCAGTTTTTTGCTTCTAGGTACCTAGTTGCAGCAGCACTGTTTGTTGAATTTTCTTCATCCAGTTTCCTTAGCCCCTTGGGTGAAAATCAGTCGACATACACAGATTATGTGTTCTGGATAATCTCTTTCTGGATTATGAATTCTATTCCATTGGTCTTCATGGCTTTCCTTTTGAAAATATCCCACTATTTTGATTATTGTAGTTTTAGAATATCTTGAAATTTGCCTTTTGCCACTAGCCAGGATTTCCAGTGTGATAAGGAATAGGAATGGTGAGCGTGGTTATTTTGCCCTATTCCAGTCTTAGGGAGAAAGCATTCAGGTTTTTATCTATGATATTTTGAGTTTTCACAAATGATCTTTATCAAGTTAAGGATCTTTTTATTATTTTCTGGGAATTTTTCATCATAAGTGGATTTTGAATTTTGTTAAATGTCTTTTTCAGCAGTTCATAAGATCATATGGTTTAGTCTGTTGATGTAGCACATTGCATTAATTAATTGACTTAAGTATGTTGAACCAACAGGGCTTCCCTAAAATAAACTGTTGCCCTTGTTACTTACTGTTGGATTTGATTTGCTAGTGTTTTGTTAGAAACTTTTATATATATGTTCATTGATCTGTAATTTTCTTGCAATATTTGGCTACTTTTGGTATCAGCATAATTCTGCCCTCATAGAATGAGTTCAAAAGTGTTTTTTAACCTTGTTTTCTGGAAGTTTCTTGATTCTTCCATAAATGCTTAGTAGAATTTGCCATTAAAGCAGTCTGGGCTTTCGGTTTTCCTATGTGAAGATTTTTGAACTATAAATTCAGTTTCTCTAATAGATATAGGGATATTTGGGCTAGTGCTGGAATTTGTCTTTCAAGAAATTTATCCATTTCATTCATCAAGTTTATTGGCATAACTTATTCATAATGCTCTTTTTAATATCTGGGGATTTGTATTATGGCCCCTTTTTATATCCTATTATGATAATTTGTGCTTGCTCCTTTTTCCCCCTTGATTTATCTTTCTAGGAGTTCCATCAGTTTTATTGCTGTTGTCAAAGAATTGGTTTTGGCTTTATGATTATTTTTCTGCTATTTTAAAATTTTATTATTGTTCTGTTTCATTTCAATATTGATATTTTTTCTCATCCTACCTTCTACTTGCTTTTGATATAATTTGTTCTTTTTTTCTCCAGGCAAATTAGATTACTGATTTGCCCTTTTCTGTCTTTTTTGCAGGGAGCATACCAGGGATCAAACTCAGGACCTAGCACTTGCCAGGCAGGTGCCATGTGGCTCAGCTAAATCCCCGGCGCCACCTTCTTTCTTAATATAACAAAAACATGTAACAATGTGAATCTCTCTCTAAATAATGCTTTAATTGTACCCATCAAATTGTTATATATTATGTCTTAAATTATTTAAAAAGTTTTCTAGATTTTCTGAGGAGCCGCCTTCTTTGATCCTTGTTTATTGAGTACTGTGTTGTTAAATTTTCAAATACATGGGAATTGTCCATATACTTTTCTGTAACTGATACTTAATTTTATTCTTGTCACAGAATATTCGTCAAATAATTTCAGTTATTTTGAGTTGGTTCAGTATTGTTTTAAGTCCCAGAATATATTCTGTATGTTCTTGAGAAGAGTATTTATTCTGCTCTTGTCAAAGTAGAGTGTTCTGTTGATATTAATTTGGTCAGTTTAGTTGAAAGAGTTGTTCAGCTTTTCAGTATCCTGCTGATTTTTTTGTCTGCTGATTCTGACAGTTACTAAGAAAGGAATTTTAGAGTTCCAACTCATAAGCTTGAATCTCTTCTTTCAGATCTCAGGTTTATGTCTTTTGAAGCTCAGCCTATGTTTAGTGTGCCTACATTTGGGATTGTTATGTCTTCTTGATGAATTAACTTCTTAGTCATTATGTAATGTCCCTCTTTATGCCTGGTAATATTCCTCATTATGATATTAATGTTATTTGGCATGTCTTCTTATTCATTTTCACTTTTAACCTGAATATGTATACTTAAAGTCAGTTTCTTGAAGGTGGTACAGAATAGATAAGTCTTAATTTCATGTCCCTTCTGCCAGTCTCTTAACTTTTTATTGATATATTTCAAACAGTTATTTTTAATGTAATTATTGGTATGATTTTAAAAATATACCATTTTTCTAGATGTTCTCTATTTCCTCTGTTCTTTGTTGTTTCCCATTTCTTTCTGCCTAGTTTAAAAAAAAATTTCTGCCTGCTTTCTCAATATTGTTTTGTTTTAGTTTATCTTTACTATGGACTGATTAATTATATGTATATAAATATGTTTTTAAAAAAAATTTTAGTGGTTGCCATAGGGTTTATAATATATGCATCTCTGTCAGATTCTGTGTTCAAATAATATTGTACTTCTTCATGTGTAGCATAAGAAACTTCCATTGATATTCTTCCAATTCTTCTCCCTCATTATTTGTGTAATTGTTGCACATTTTCCCTTTACATACATTATGTACCCCATGTGAAGGAACATTTCTGGTGGTAGAAATACATACCTTGATTATTGTGATGAGTACATGGGTATATATATTTTTCAAAACTCAAACATGTAAAATGAGTTAATTTTACTTCAAGTAAATGTCCGATATAATGCATATGTTGAAGACCAACAAATCTATAATCAGCTTAGATATTTAACCTAAGTTCCTAGTGAACATACTTGTGTGACTATCCCATAAGCATTCACAACCCCCACGTGTCCAAAAATGAATCCACTATGTTTCTCAACTAGGAACTTGGGAGAAAGCAGTTAATCCATTTCTGTGGATTCTACCTCTTAATTATCTCTGCACTTGATTTTTCGCTTGTTTCTAATGCCCTGTTTTCAGGTCTTTCACATTTCCAAGTAGTCTTAACCATCTTTAAGAATCCTTCCAATTTATCTTCCCCTCTGCTAAATAATGATCTTTCTAATATCAGAGCTGGTTATTTTATTTTTCTATTTAAAATCCCTGTATGGTCCCATATTACTTTTGGCAAAATGCACACATATTAGCATAATGCAGTTGTCTCAAAATCTGTCCTTCCCTCCTCTAGAGCCCCTCTGTTAGCCCTCAGCTTAGAGTCATTCAGTCACATCCAGCACATAACTGCAGGGAAATCTCAGAACACGCCATGTCCTCTCCCACCTCTTGCCTCTGCCTATCCTGTCCTTCCCAGTCCCCTGGTCCATCTTTTTCCTCCTGGTCTGGCTGATTTCATCTTGCCCATCAGGACTCCATTCAGGCTGCCTCTTATCTGGTAGCATTCCCTAAAATCGTCCCAGCCTTGGGCTCCTTTGGGCCTTTCTGACTTTCTTCTGCATTCTCATTGGTGTGCTGTGCTTTCCTTTCAGGGTAGTTATTTCCAGGTATTGTAATCACAGAAAGTACTCATCACTAACTTACTGCTTACTCTAACAAGTTTCAGCTCTGAAAAAATCTATGTAAAGTCACAGACTAATGAGCCATAACATAGTAACTTCCACTGTGTTTTTATAGGCAAAGATGCTGGAAGCAGATCTGGTTTCGAAGATGCTACGAGCTGTTTTACAGTCTCATAAAAATGGGATAGCATTACCTCACCTCCAAGGAGAGTACCGATCCTTGACTGGAGACTGGATCCCCTTTGAACAGCTTGGTTACTCTACTCTGGAAGACTATCTGAGAAGTGTGCCAGCAGTTGTCAGAATAGATACTAGTAGATCTGGAGAGGTAAGAAGGCAATTGTGAATGTCAGAAGAATCAAACCAATTTGTAATCTCCAGCCTGACACTTCAACCTCATACCTTTGATAAAAGTCAAAGTGATAAGTACCACTAAGTGATCAGAAGCACAGCCTAGGTTCCAGTGTCTTATTTTATCCCTCACATTTTTTCATTGTGAAAATAAGATTTTAACCACTCTAAATAAAAAAATTTAAGTTGAAGTTTGCCTAAATTCAGCATCAAAACAAAATAGCTGTCCTAGGACTTTCAGTGCATACACATCTTTCCTGCCCTTTACAAACCTGCTACAACTGTTTTTGCCAAGATCACTTCACTAATGACCTTCTTATCACCAGATCTAATAGGCAGTTTTAAATTCTCATCATTTGACTGCCTTTATAATAATTCTTGCCACCTGGACCTAGCTCATTCCCTAGTTGGTCACTCACTACTTTACTATTATAGAGTCTCCCTAACAGTTCTCCCTGTCTCAGTCCCCTTATTCTCTAGCTTTTCCTCTCCCTCACAGAAATATGATCATGTTAATCTACCACTGCAAATCCTTTAGCTTCCCCAGGAGAAAATACTTTGTGTATAATACGGGCCATTTGGTGGCAGCAGGTAAATATTTGCACTTTCACTGTCTCTCAGTAGTTTCATTTCTTGGTGTCTACTCATTGTACAATATGATAGGTGTAGACAAACCACCCAAAAGACAAACAAAAAGGCCTGTCTTCCCTCCCACAAAATACTGTAGTTTCTTGGGTACATTTCTACATATGTAAATATATGGAACAGGGCAGGTATGTTCCTCACCAAAACTTATCATATTGTTTCCTCTGGGAGTTGGTGGGGAGGAAAATGCAGTTAGGATTGGGAGATCCATAAAAAGGGAAGTTCAGGGCCGGGGATTTAGCTCAGTGGTTCCACCGTCTGCCCCGCAAACGCAAGGAACCAAGTTCGATCCCCGGTACCAAAAAAAAAAAAAAGGGAAGTTCACCTCATCCAATAATTTTTACAAAAGAAAATAGAAATCAATTAAATACTCTATTAATAGTAAAACATTCTTTAATATCCCTTGTCCTCCCAGACAGATTTAAGCCCACCTTTCTATTTGTATCTTGCAGTACATCCAAAATACACTTAGCACAGTGTTTTCCATTTAGTATTTTTGCTTTTTTTCCCTTCATGTGTTTCTTGAGGATGAAGGACTTTTTTTTCCCTCACCATTTCATACTTAATAAATATGTATTTTGGAGGGATGGAGGGGTTGAAGGGAGGGTAGGGGAAGGGAGAAAAAATAAGAACCAAGAGAGATTATGTAAAGGTACAAATTCCCAGTGATGAATGTCATTATATCGTATACCAAAAGTGTACCAATAAAATAAAAATTTAAATAAATAAATATGTATTTAATATTTGTGTATGAATGACCAAATGTCCAAATTAATTAATAAATTAATAATACTTTATATGGTTGCTGTTACTTAATTCTTTGTTCCTTTATTTTGGACATTTTAAATGTTTCCAGGTTTTGACTATTAAAGTATCCCCCATTGAACATTTTTTTCTTTTGAATTATATTCTCAGGAATAGAAATACTGGGCCAGAGACTCTAGGAACATGTTTTAGCTGCACTATAAATCCTCATCATTTTTCTGTTGTTGATTTGAACTTAGAGTCAAAGACTTGAAAAGTAAATAGGACTTTAGAGATCTAGTCCAAAAAGTCCTGATGTTTCAAATCTTTTCCCTAATATTCTACCTATCATACTAATTTTAAGTGATACAAGGCTGAGCTGCTGTGTTTTAAGCAGATGTGGAGGGTCTAGGGGGCCCTATCTATCCTGCTTCGCCTTCACACTCCTATTAGTGGTGGCCCCTGAAACCCCCATGGAATTGCATGGCTTCAGTAACCAAGATTCAGAAAAACAGGTCTAAACCACCCCTGCCTTACAACTGAGAATACCTTACTGAGATTTGCCCAAAGTCACCCAGTTGTTCCGTTATAAGCCTAGTCTTGCCTAGGCTTTAGTGGTCTTGGAAACAGTACAGTGTAGTAGTTATGAAACTACTTTGGACTCAAAGAGATAGTCTTGCTGTGTGATTTGGAAAGTTACTTAACTGTACTGAGCCTCTGCCTCTCCATGTGTAAAATGGGGATAAGGTATATCTTGTGGGTTTTATGACCTAATACATTCAGATGATGAATTTCTTTTGGTTTGTCCATTAATCCTACAGTACCTGGTACATTGTAGATGGTGAATAAATACTTTAAGGAATAAATGAAAATTTCAATTTGGAGAAAGATTATTTAGTGTACTAGGTTATTCTTGATTTCTTTGTAGAAAATACATATTTTTATTCTAACATTATCAAGGAGAAGGATATATGAATATTTGCATACAATTTGATTTTGGACTTGGGCGCTCACCCACTTTTACAAATTGACCTCTGGGAAACACTGACTCTGAGAAGTATTTCTCCTCTTGCTCTGCCCCTCATGAATAGATTACCTGCCATGCTGTGACCTGCACAGAAACTGCAAGGATTGCTCAGCTTGTGGCTCGTCAGAGGAGTTCTAAAAGGAAAACTGGGCGGCAAGTTAATTGTCAGATGAGAGTGAAGAAAACCATGCCATTTTTTCTAGAAGGTAGGGTTTTTTTATATGCTAAAAATTTAAAACCTGTTCATGAATTTATTTTCACAAAGAATTATGGAAATGCTGTTTGTATTCACAATAAATACATGGATTTGTTAACATCCCTGTGTCAGGAGAAAAACTGGGACCTAGCTTTTTTCCTTTTAATGATTAAGTGAACATGATAAGCATAATTAACAAAATGAAACAATTACGCAGTGTGAAGTAACTCAGCAGATTTTCACTGTTTGTGATGGCAAGGTTTGGTTTTGTTTTTTTAGGTATTTGAAAGGAGGGGCCAGAGATTTAGCTCAGTGGTTCCACCACCTGCCTCATAAGCACAAGGTCCTGAGTTTGATCCCTGGTACCAAAAAAAAAAAAAAAAGAAATGATTGGGCCAGGGATTTAGCACAATGGTTCTGCCACCTGCCTTGAAACTACAAGGTCCCGAGTTTGATCCCCGGTACCAAAAAAAAAAAAGCAAGTTGAAAGGAAGCAACCTCCAGAATATTGGATGAACCAAGAACCTATGATTTAATGTCTTCTTAGCAATTATGTCTTTTGGGATAATACCATTTTCAGAAAAATATGAATTATATAATATGAAAAAGTGCTACGGGCAACTCAGCCTAGTATACTGAAAACTTATCTCAGGGAGCTTACAGTCCTAAAACTAAATTCTCAAGAAATAATGATAATATAAAACAGTAGATGACTAAGTGCTAGCATGAGCATTTTAGACAAGGCAGTGATCATTGTGAGTGAGAATGGAAATGGAGGGCTTTATGGTGAAAGGAAGGCTTGAGCCCAGATCTCAATTGGTAGGTAGAATTTAGATTGATGAAGAAGAAATGGAAGGACTCCCGTGTTGGTGAGAATGTAAAGTGTCTGCAGCAGAAGTGTTAAGTTCATGTGTACCAGGCAAATAACTGGAATCTAACAGGTGAAGAATCTCTTCATCTAAATGCTCCCAGAACTCTTCTTCCCTCTCACCAGTCCCCCAGGAGCTCCTTCTTGTGTTATTACAGACAGTTTTGAGAATAGAGACCCTCAGAAACCATCTGGTCAGGAGAGTGGCATAATAAAACTAGGGTTTGGGGTAGTCAACTGATTCCATTATGTATGTCTGACTTCATAGGAAAACCAAAAGCAACCCTCAGACAACCAGAACTTGCTTCAGCTTTTTCTGTCAGCAAAAAATCCAATCCAACACTGTTAAGAGACAAAGGAAATTCTCTTGGGATTAAGTTTGATGCCGAAATGCCACCTTACCCAGTGCACAGGACTGTTGGAAATAAAGTATTCAAAGACATTCCAATGCAGAGGCATGTGACCATGTCTACCAACAGCAGGTATTTCAGACTTTATCTGACTAAAAAGTGAAGTTTGGTGAACCTAGGATAATAAATGTTTAAAAAATTTGTATTCATATTAATAACAGAGTTTCTATTTTGGCCAATACAAGTGCGTATGTGATACAAAAGTGCGCTTTTCCTGGCTGCCTGTTACTCTCTAAATGTGCCTCCATTCCGTAGCTCTGCTGGTAATCTCTCTTTGTAAAATTCATTCTAAAAGCTCTCATAAGTTGTTCTAAGATACCACTTTACTATTTTTTCTGAAAACATTTTCTTACAATTAATTTTAAGAGTCCTAAGTGAAATCTGATTGAATTGTACACTTGATTTTTGCCCCAGTAATTGTGTCCATAATTATGTCATAATGTCAGATGTCCTTGGATAAGACTACTGGGCTAGCAGTCATAAGAACCTAAAAGCCTTAGTTTAGGAGCTGCCATTCACTAGCTAGGGAAAATAAATTAAAGTTTTATCTTTCGGGTCTGTGGTTTCCTTTTTGCTCAGTGAAAATGTGAAACTAGATGAGCCTTTCTGGGTCTAAATTATATGGTTTTATCTGGTAGCCAAGAGGCCAGCTAACTACAATCCTTGGGCCAGTTGAGGCCTGCTGCCTGTTTTTGTACATGCAGTTTTATAGAAACACAACTATATCCTGTTTCCAAATTGCCTGTAGCTGCTTTTGCATTTCAGTGCCATAGTTGACTGGTTGTGCAGAGCGTGGATGGTCAGCAAAGCCTGAAATATGTACTGTTGGACCCTTTCCAAAAAAGCATGCTGATCCTTGATGTAGATGAGTTGACATCCCATTCTTCTGTCATTCCAGCTTTAAAATTTGTGTCTTTTCACAACAGACTTGTCCTGTCACACTTTAAGTCATTGTTTAAAAATTCTATTTCATTTTCCCCAGGAATGTTCCCTCCAGATACTAGAATATTTAAGAAGAACTAATTTTTAAAGAAATTTGGTAGAAAGTAGTGTATTTTTAGCATTTTCTGTTACATGTTAATGCAGAAATATGATGTTATAATTGTACATACTAAGTAAGTTTTTACTGATAGCCTACAACCTAAGCATTTCTTTCAGAATTAAAATATTATAAGGAAATATACTTCATTTTAAAGAATAGATCTAATTTTCAGTCTTTCATAGTATTAAAAAATTGTGCTGGCCACACCATCATTGATTGAGTCAGACATTCTTCTAACATTCACTCTCCCTTGCATGCACTAACCCCTGGGAGCACAAATAATTAAGAGGTATCTAGTGAAGGAAAAAGACGTGTGGGGGTGTTATTTGTCCTCATATTTGGAAAAATCTTCTTATTTATATCCAGTATCATTTCTAAAAAATTATTTAGTAAAGACATGAGGTAAGGATCTGTTTCCTTTTCAGTTATTTGAGCAATCTTTCCTGTTTGCTTTGAAATACCACTTTTATTATATGCTAAGATACAATGTAAATTTCTTAAGTTTCTCAGCTCTCTACTATTTTACTTACCTGTCCAATTACTGTATTTTAAATGACATGACTTTGTAATGCATTTCAAACTCTGGTAGTGCAATTCCTTCAGTTTTTGGTTGTATTCCAAAACAGTCTTTATTGTCAACTATTTATCCTTTTCATGGTTTCATTTATTCTGTTTTGCTAATGCCTAAAGGTGATTAGTTGAAAGTGGGATGTCCAGGTTCCAAAAGAGACTGTCAAATGTCTTGTTAAGGTTTAGCTGGTAGCATACTTTTTTCTGAGTAAATATGTAAGGTGAGATTATGTTATATGTCATTTTCATTTTTTCTGATTTTGGAATATTTTTATGACTTAATTGTAAATGAAAAAATATGTTGTTTAAAACTTGGTATTCTTTTACATCTTAGGTTTAGCTCCAAGGCACCCCACCCACCACCTTTTCAGATGCATGTCTCAAGAACCTGTACTAAGGAAGTGAGTGGTATGTTTTCCAAATATCTTCATGATACATACTGGCTTCTGGAGCCTCGGGCCCCAAGAAAAGTATAGTATATACCTTTGTATATACTACAAAGTTTATAGCCTTTGACACTTGCTCTCACTTTCTACTTGGAGTGTACCTCTCTTCCTTTCTTTTCTAATTTCTTTAAATCAAGTTGAGTGATCTTAAGACAAAATAATGCTTCCAAGGATATCATCACTATTCTGAGTTGGGACCTTTCTCACCCTAGACCTCCTCTGTTTCACACCCGTGTCCCTTGTGTATCTCCTCGTCCTCTCCCTCATTAGGGGATAAGCCCATAAGACTTTGTAGTCTGAGGCCTTACTTAAAGAAAATTCATGCAGCCGGGGATTTAGGTCAGTGGTTCTGCTGCCTGGCCTGCCTCGTAAGCACAAGGTCCTGAGTTCGATCCTCGGTACCAAAAACAAAAAACAATAAAAAAAGAAAACTCATGCTCTAGATTCAGCATATATAGATATGGGGCTTTAACTCATGAACAAATTTCAGATAACGCCTCTGCTTAAAAGCTGGCATCCTAAATGGTGTGCAGTGACCATTAAGCATCTAAATATGAATATAAATAGCTCCTTAGGTTATAAAGTCCAAAAAGGCTATTTTTTTTTTTTTTTGTGGTACCGGGGATTGAACTTGGGTCCTTGCGCTTGTGAGGCAGGCGGTGGAACCACTGAGCTAAATCCCAGGCCCTCCGAAAAGGCTATTAAGAAAACAATACAACAGAGAATAAAGTCAATAATCTGAAGGTTAGAAATTCACCCACTCAGTATTTCATTTTCTCCAATGTGTAAATGAAGATTCAGCCAGAGGTATATAGTATTTTCAGAATAAGTGCTCATAGTGTATGAAATATGAATGTAATTTTACATGTTTGCTGCATTTTTTCCGTAAGAACACATTTCCTATATTTCTCATGGAAATTAATTGAATAATATGATTTTTGTTTATATGGCTTATTTTTACCTATGCATTTTCTGAGCTCTTGACTAGTTAGTAAAGTCATATACCCTTTTAGCGGCTTAAATTCATACATGCTTTTTTCTGTACAATCGAGGACTCATTTCCAGAGGATTGCTGTTCACTGGAAGAGCTGAAATGTACACATGTACACAACTTCTCCTACATGCTAACAGCATTGACTTCCTTAATTTGCTTGACATGGGGCTCAGGAGCTCAGGGTGCCTGTAGCGGCCCCACAGAGCAGGTGAATTTGCAAACTCAACCACAAGTCACCTGCTGACTCTGTCATTAAGGGGTCTGGCCACTTTTGAGAAGCTCATCATTTCCTCCTTCTCCATCCCTTTCTGGATTCTTCTGTTCTCTGCGCCCAAGTCTGGCAAGGCCAGGTCGTCATGAATTGGTGTCCAAGCATCCTCATGGAGTAGTTCCCTTTGGCTTCCTGGCCTTCACAGAGGCCACTGCCCCCAGGCAGGACTATATGTCCCTATTGCCTAATTAAAAATAAAATTACTGAATCTCAGCAGAAATACCATCTGTAAAATATGAATTATTTTGCACACTGATGATAATTTTAATGTACTCTGACCTGTATCCCAGAGGAGTTTTGAAGAGGATGAATTTCATAGTTCTTAAAATATCAGAGCTTTCAGCTATAGTGAACACTGAGATTTCTTTGTCTTAGGATGTGAATTCAAGTATCCTGAGTTTTAAATTTTTTTTAGAAAGTGAATAAAAAAGCTAGCCAGAATATACTTATGAAAAATAAATATTGGGGAAATTTAAAAATTGGTATTACTTATCTGTAGGATCTAAACCATTTATTCATGTTTATAAATTGAAGCTAGGATGATTTTTGTATCTTCTGTGTATTGCTAAATTATTTATTTTCATTAATAAAGGGGGAAAATAATCATGACCTTAAAACCTGGACAGCTTCTGTTAAATGTTCTTCAGCCTTACTATTGAGGCATTATTTTTATGCTTTGTAGAATATAGCTTTAAATTCAGCATTGTATATATGTGTATGTTATCCAAAGTGTTACTTTCCTTAGTTGCAAGTAGAAAATCATTAAGCAATAAATTTTATTATTCTTTACCTAGAAAGATAATTTTGATGTTTAAAGTAGCCTGGCAAAATAAGGGAGCTAAGTTCCCTCTCGGATGTCTCTTGACATGGCTGGTATTTCTGGATTAATGTAATGAGGTTGTCGGGGTGCTGTCTTCCTTAATCCTGCCCCCCTGCTAAGACCCTTGGCCCCCACAAGCTCACAGAATAGCAAAGCCTGAGACACAAATGCTACGTAATGGGGATAATCTACCATGTTAAGTATTTTGGTTAATTCTATCATTTTTTAATTTAAAGATAATTTAAATAAGACTGTTGAAAAAACAAATGTCACGCCTCCTGCCTCTCACACTTACAAAATGGATGAGGTTCAAAATCGCATAAAGGATATACTAAACAAGCATAACAATGGCATTTGGATATCTAAGCTTCCACATTTTTACAAAGAGTTATATAAAGAAGACCTTAATCAAGGAATTTTACAACTATTTGAACACTGGCCTCATATTTGTACGGTACGTTTTTTTTCTTTGTTCTTCCTTTCTGATGTCTCCTCCCTGCCCAGCTTTCGGATTTTGAGTTACTGGTCATAAAACCTTTTCTCCAGGGGACACGAAGCACTTTATGTATGTTGCCTCGTTAATCTTTATCTCTAAGATTAACACATATGTGTTCTTATTCATTCGAGAAGTATGTCAAGGTTGAGGACTCTGTGTGTTTTAATTGTTGCTGTTATACATTTTGTTTTAAATTATTTTAAAAGTGTATTTAATGTTTATTATGTATATATACCTCTTTGTATTGATTGAACTGCTACCAATAAACACTGGAGGACAGTAATTATTACTAGCTTCAACTTTTATACACTTAATTCTTGACCATTTTTAAGGATTTTCAGCTAAGCAAATTTTAGTTATTTTGGCTAATTATTTACATAGTACTTTGTGTCTTTTGAAAGTAATACAGTATTCATACTTAATTTTTATAAACTGTCTTCAGAGTGAAAATTTCTAATTGAAAATGATTTATCAACTTCCATGCCTGTTCCTACTTGGGAGTTTATGATTATAATAAGATGATGGATCAGAATTGTTTATTAGAAATTTTAGTTCAGCCAGATATGGAGACAACTAGATTCTTTTTTTTTTTACAGTATAAAATAATTTTATTTGCAGGAATGCAAAATGATTGTTTGCTATGAGCATTTTAAACATATGACATGTCTAATTTTCTTGTTAAATTTGCATTTACTGAGGGACTAGTTTGTATAAAACCTTAAGTATAAGCTCTGATCTTCATTGTGGTGCCTACTGGGTATGTGATATAACTGCAGTATCCCTTTGGGTAGGAGAGAAGGGACTTCTTTACACCAAGTCCTAATAAACTATAATTTTACTTTTGACTTTAAGCTATCAACTTAGGACTTGACAAAAAATTTTTGAGGATGCTTCACCACTGAACACTCACTGTCATCAAGGTGCTTTAGAAAATTAAAAATATAGCACAAGTGATTGTATTCTACTCTACAAGTTAATCATGACCTGCATAAGAAATGGAAAGCTGATTCATATTTTTACAGTGATCAGCAGTAAGAAATGCACTAATGAAACATACCTTTTACCTAAAAAGCTAAACTACAGCCATATACTAATTTCTATGATTTATGAAAAAACTTCACAATATCCAAATGTCAGGCTTTGCTGTATAATTGTCAGTTTTAGTCTGACTTTTTTTTGTACCGGGGATCGAACTCAGGTCCTTACGCTTGCGCAGCAGGTGGCAAAACCACTGAGCTAAATCCCTGGCTAGTCTGACTTTTTATAAAGGGACATTGCAGTATTTAGTACAAGTTCAGATGCACTTTTTTTGAACATTTAATGAGACAACTAGATTCTTAAACCCAACTAACTTTTAGATATTTCTTAATGTTTCTGTTCACATAAAATATATTCAAAGTATAACTGTCCTAAATGGTGGCATTAACAACTATTTGGTGCTTCTAAGTTTATAGAATTAATATGTATAAGGAGTATGTGTTTTGAGAGAGGGCTTTATTTCTTTAATATGTATTCTGGCCCTCAAACCTGTTGGGCAAATTATAGGCTACTCCTTCTTCATAAGCACTTGGCCTAAGAAAGTATGTATTTTTGCAACCTCTTTTTCTTCTAGACCGCTGTCACCCCATTTAAGCCCCATGCCCATTTCTTTGCAAGAGTCATTCGTTCATCTATCCATCCTATCCATAAAACCATTTATTGTGCACCTGCATGTGGCAGTCACTGCCTTAGGTGCTAAGAACACAGGTAATTAAGACACTTGGAACCTAGTGAGAGAAAAAGACATGGAAAAAATTATTTGGTCAATGAACAAATGTTAGAATACACAGAATAAAGGAGAAAAACAAGAAGGAATGTCAAACTCTAGAATATGGCTCTGTTCTCCTATTTACAAATTCTTGCTAAAAAAGGTTCTTATTTAATGTTCATAAAAATGTCACCTATGATTTGTGAAATGTAGAACTTACTCTTATAATGAGAATTCCCAAGGTTGCTTTTCAATACATTGCATTTTTACCCCATTTAGGAAAGAATTTTCTCACTGTGCACAGATTCATCACTATTGCCATATCCTTTCAGATAACCTTGTTCTTGAGGGAACTTTTGAGGACGTTTCATTAGACTGCTCAAAAATTTGAAAATTCAAGGCACTAGCCCTTCTTGGAATGATTATAGTTTATTTTTTAAATCCATAGACATTCATGAACTTTATATGAAATTTTCAATGCACTTAGAGTCTTTTTATTGTCAAGATGTATATTTTATTTGCTGCTAAGCTTTCATAAAGAAGTCTTTGTAAAAATTTTAAAAATAAATTTAATATTTTTAATGAATTTTATTGGTACATTTTAGGTATACAATATAATGACATTCATCATTGGAAATTTGCGCCTTTACATAATCTCTCCTGGTTCTTATTTTTTCCCCATTCCCCTGCCCTCCCTTCAACCCCTCTTAATATGTTTTTAATTTATTATGTTTCTGGGCTTTTGGATTCTATGATAATTACTAGTATTTGTATAGCTCAGTTTATTACTTTGGGGGAAATTTTCATCCTTGCTGCTCTACAAATGTCTACAAAGTTCCAGAATATCTCTTGCTGAGGTGGCAAGTGAGGGAGTATCTAAGTGAGAGAGTGTTACCTAAATTGAATGATTACCTCGTGTCAGGTGCTGAAACAACTGATACGTTTTGTTGTTGCTTTTTGCAGCACTTGAATTTGCTTTTATTGCCTTATTGTTTTCTGTGTGATCAGTGAAGGTGGTACAGGAAGCAGAAAAACAATATACCTTCCTTGTCTACATCTGGTCTCTCAGCTTCAAGGAGAACTATTTAGGCATGATCACTACCAATTATGAGGTGATGATTTGCTTAGTGAGGGATTGTATCTAGGATACTCCAAACTGTCAGTCATATTGATGCCTATTGGTATTTTTCAAAACTGATTTTTAAACCTTACAATATTCTTAATAGCCTATTATTGTTAAACAGTTTTAAACAGTTATACCATGGTTGCTTTTAAACAGCTTTAAATAGTTGTACTGTGATTGTTTTCTCTCTTTTCTAACTTGGTTTTACTTGGTTTAAAGGCAGAAAAATAGCATACCTAGTGTTGATGTTATTACTTAGGCACACAGTCTCAAAGGTGTGCAGAAAATATAGGATAAGAAGGAACTTGGTAATGGATATCTGTCTATATGGCTTGTCATGAACTCAAGAAGAAATCCAAGTGCAGTGTATTTTTTAAATGTATTTTCTCCTTCAATTATATAAAACATTTTATGTAAAAAAATTGAAAATTTAATTTATGAAGAAATAAAAATTATCCATAGTCCTACCAGCTAAAAAAAAAAAAGCCACTGCCAGGGATTTATCTCAGTGGTTCCATTGCCTGCCTTGCAGGTGAAAGGACCAGAGTTCGATCCCCAGTACCAAAAAAATAATTTTAAAAAAAGCCACTTGCAGGGATTTCCCTTTGAATATCAGAATGGGCAGCATCTCAAGGCCAAATAGCAATTCTTGAAATTTTACCTTCTTGGAAGTTCTAATCCACTGTATCACAAGGATGCTCCATAACATTCTGAAGCATGTAGAGGATGGTTTGAATCTGTTGTTCTTAACTGTTTAGATCCCTCAGGCAGCCAAAAATACTGTTTGAAAGTTAAAGAGAAAATAGAATCATTGGCAAATGATGAACCAGGTTTTTGGTGTTCCTAGGCAGCTTGTGAGGGAATTGGGAATTGCAAAGATCCCAGTGCAGTAAGCTTACAGGCCAAGGATAAGAGTTCCCATTGAGTCCTGGGAGAAGGACAGTAACATCTCTTGGCTGTTACAGAGTAGTGTTCTTACTAATAATATACTTAACCTGTTATATTTGACTGGTATTTATAAAATGCTTCTGTGTACCAGCCTCTGACCTGGGTGCTAAGGATTGAATAGAAGACAAGCCAGACATGGTCCTTGTCCCTATCGAACTTTCTGTCCAGTGGAGAAAACCAGGGATTATTATAAAAGAGAAGGGCAGGATGAGAGAGTGGAGGGGGCCGGAGAGGAACATGTAAACAAAAGGACTCAGCTTAGTCTAATGAGTCCAGAAAAGCCACCCAGAGGGTGGCTATGAAACCTGACCAATGAGTTGATATGAGTTAGGCAAGAAGGGTAGGAGGAAGACCTCAGGTAAAAGAAAGCTGAGCCAAATCCCTAAGACGGAAAAATGTGACATTTTCAGGAAGGTGAAAAAAGTTCAAGAAGAGAGTGGCTCAGAAAGAAGCTGAAGAGGCAAACATTTCATTAAAGAATCAACATTTGTTGAAGACCAGCACATCCCTCCCTTGAGGTTATCTACCGTGCTGGCCTCTGACCGACTTTGATTTCTAGGAAAATTCCAAATCTTGCAACAATGACTGTTGAACATCAGAGTTTTGGTCAAAATTCTCTGCTCTGAAACATACTGGAGAAACTTCTCCACTCCTGCCTTGGCCAGCATATCTGTCTTCATTCATTTTCTGGCCTGAAGCAGTGTGAAGTGAGAGGCTCCTTTTGGAGTTGGACTAGGTGCATCCAGCTGAGAAGAGTTCCTGCATGTGACCCCAAGACTGACTGCAAGACTGCCAGAGAAACATTCTAAGTTGGGCTAGTGGCACACCAGGGCTTAATTATAGCACATAACATTTTGTGAAAGACAAAATAAAATTATAGAACATAAAATGTGAATGGGGAAAAATACCTAGTTATACTAATTATTAATACCTTCTATAAAATGTTTTACTGTTAATCTGTATTTTTGTTATGTATCATTTTTATCCATTGGAAATTATTGAATTTTAAGTTGTTTCATACTCTAATATCTCAAACTCTTAAAAAATATCTAAAATTTGGAATTGCATCAAAATAGCAGTTTCTGAAATATCAAAACAACAACAATTCTGTTGCTTACATATTTTTAAAAACATATTTGA